GTACTAGGTGGACTACCACCACTTGACCACTTGCCTCTGCTGAACGCAGGCTAACTCCGAAAGGCCACTTCTAGAAATCTCTAACTTGGCCTTTCAGTACTGTAACAGCTACGACTTTGCCCTTTCAGGTAAGTAGCAGCTACGACCTTGACTCTTCGGGTAGTCTACAGCTACAACCTCTGAACTGTTTAGACTCCTACCCTACAAGTCTACAGTTCGAATCCCTCCTACCTTGTGACCTACGAAAGTCTACCTACCACTGGTGATCCTACAGGTCGCAGGTTCAAATCTACGGGTTGCCATCAATACTGTACACAGGTAAGATGGGGAACTAAGGATCGAGCCCTGGGATCTGCATTCGCTACTGCGAACTGGTGAATACCGTTTCACCACCGTTGGACCCTTATTTTCTAGTGTCCCGCGGCCACCAAGGCTGGCCACCTTTCGGCTTCACTATTCTCTTGTCCTCCGCCGCGCCTCGCTTTCTCAGTTCATGGCCCCTCGAGTCCTTGCCATATCGAATTCGAATGACCCTCCTGGCCCCATGCTATGCCCCTATGCGCCCACATCCTATCACTCACTTGCTTGCCATTGTCGGGTCCTTCACCCTGCGGTACTCAGCCCAGGGCATCATTCCTCCTAGCGGTCCCGTCCTAATCCTTTGTTTTTTTTTCTCTCTCTTGTCTCCTTTCTCCGGATTTCTCTATCGTGCACAACTTGGCTATATATCGGCTCTCAAGTGCCAGGATGATTTTCGGGATCCACAGGTCCCGACACATTCCCCCAACTCATTCGTGATGTCCTCATCGCACACCAGTCTTTTGTGAGTAGGGGGGTCTGGAGGGATGGACGGGAGAGAGGGGGTGAAATGTAATAGGTGGTTAGTTTGTCAAGGTCCTTTTTGTCTTTTCTTGTTCCTTCCCAGTGTCTCTTCTAGTCGTCGCTCCTTGGGGCGGGGAGGGGTGCGTAGGGGGTCAAGTTCTCTTTTAGGCGCTTCTTCAAGTTTCTTCCGTCTCGTTCATCATCCTTAGTACATCCAACTTTTCGTCTCATTCATCACCCCCTGTACATCAGACTTTTCGTCTCATTCATCACCCTTAGTACATCAAACCTTTCGTCTCATTCATCACCCTTAGTACATCAGACTTTTCGTCTAATTCATCACCCCTAGTACATCAGACTTTCCATCTCATTCATCGCCCTTAGTACATCAAACCTTTCGTCTCATTCATCACCCCTAGTACATCAGACTTTTCGTCTCATTCATCACCCTTAGTACATCAAATATTTCGTCTCATTCATCACCCTTAGTACATCAGACCTTTCGTCTCATTCATCACCCCTTAGTACATCAGACCTTTCGTCTCATTCATCACCCTTAGTACATCGGACTTTTCGTCTCATTCATCACCCCTAGTACATCAGACTTTTCGTCCCATTCATCACCCTTAGTACATCGAACATTTCGTCTCATTCATCACCCTTAGTACATCAACTCTCCTCGTCCCTCGCCTCCTGCAGCCTATGCTTCTCCCCCGAGCCTTGCCATCCCTAATGCCCTCGAATGATTCTGCCTTTCGTCCCGCACGGACCACCCTTTTGTCAATCTCATGCTCAACCAATTTTACACGCATTTCTTTCTAGACATTTTGTTAGGCCTTTCTCAATCCCTAGCTCTATCAATTTCACATGCATATTTTTCTAGACATCTTGCCAGATTTTTCTCAAGTCCAAGCTCAATCAATCTCACATGCATTTTTTTTTTTCATCTTGCCAGACCTTTCTCAAACCCAAACTCAGTCATGTTTACATGCATCTTTTTCTCTGGGCATCTTCCCAGACCTTTCTCAAGCCCAAGCTCAATCAATTTTACATGCATCTTTTTCTGGTCATCTTGCCAGACCTTTCTCAAACCCAAGCTCAATGAATTTTACATGCATTTTTTTCTCTGGATATCTTGCCAGGCCTTTCTCAAACCCAAACTCAATCAATTTCACATGTATCTTTTCTCTGGACATCTTGCCAGACCTTTATCAAGCCCAAGCTCAATCAATTTTACATGCATTTTTTTCTCTAGATATCTTGCCAGGCCTTTCTCAAGCCCAAACTCGATCAAATTCGCATGTATCTTTTCTCTGGACATTTTGCCAGGCCTTTCTCAAACCCAAGCTCAATCAATTTAACATGTATCTTTTCTCTTGACATCTTGTCAGGCCTTTCTTAAGCCCAAGCTTAATCAATTTCGCATGTAAATTTTCTCGAACCCATAAGAAAATAACCTTATCCATTTGACTGCGGTTTTTTTTTTTGTTTTTTTTTTTCACGCTTTTTCATCGGTAGATGGCACGCCTTTCCCCCACTCAAAATGCGATGTCCCCATCGCACGACTGGTTCTCACTCGGAGGTACGGAACCTTGGCCCATCAACTGAGTCAAGAACACCGACTCACCTGCTCCTAGAAGGAAGGGTGATCGGTCCTTCCTCGACAGATAACACCTCATCCTTCTACTTAGTCCGACCTTTTGTTATTACGAGACGGACACCATTGCTAAGGTACCACCTCATATCTGGCAGGTAGGTCCAGTCCAAGCCTCCCAAGACCCCATCTTGCCGTAAAGGCGTCCCTTCCCGAGTGGTATTTCTTGGACCCGGCCTCTTCCTTTCAAGAGGGTTGGGACTCAGTCCTGGAACGGTTGTAATGATCCGGCAGGGCAATGTCAATGCCCTGTGGTGGGTGCGGACTCCACCCGATACATCACCTGGCCCCTCCCTTTGGACAGTGCGACTCAACTTAATGCGAGCAACCTTGGTCCATCCCAAGCGGCCACATCGTCCCTCTATGGTATGACGTGTGGTTGGGGAGAGCAAATGAGACTAGCAAAAAAACGGTACTTCACCCGTTTGGTTCCTCACCCTTTGATGTTTAGGTTCCCAATATGAGGCGCAGTTTGAACTCCCCGACTAGAGCTCGTTGTCGGAGTTAGTTCCGGACGACGAGCACCAATCAAAGAGAGAGATGCCTTGGTCCTTTAACCCTTATCCTTCTTCATGAGGAACATGTCGCGATGAGACTTTCCTTTGGAGGGTAGAGGTCTTGGGGTCGTCATGCAAGCACCGGTATCCCCCTCTTGCTGAGACCTGAAACCAGAAAAAAAGAAAGTTCATTCTAATGTTATTTCCATACCTTTTCCAATCCGCTTAGGACCCCCTGATATGCAATGCGATTTCCAATTCTCAAGCAATTTCGCAATGCAAACTCCAGATCCTTCAAACTCAATCTCTTTCAAGCAATCATGCAAGGGGACCCTAGTAACTATTTCCAAATGACCCTTATCAGGGACCATTTTTTCATTTCCGGTCGAACAACCTCATCAGGGTAATTCTTTCCATGTCATCAAACAACCTTGTTAGGGTCGTCCTTATTCCTTTCAATCAAACGACCTTGTCAAGGTCGTTCTTATCCATTTCAGTCGAACGACCTTGTTAGGATCGTTCTTTTCCATTTCAATGTTAGCGCTCGAGGGGGTGGGCCTCGAGGACACAGATCCCATCTTCGTCTTAGGGGTTAGAAGGTGACCATCTTTTACAGTTTTCTGCATGCGGTATCTTTCATCCTTTCTCAATACAATTTGTTGTTCCTAATAACCTCATGCATACATCCAACTTAGCGTCTAGTGCTCAGGCTGAGGCTCTCTCCCTCAGGCAACACTAGCCCACCCGGTTGTTCCACCGTAGTTCAAACACAGACCCTTCTTGTCCTTTTCTTGCTCACTCTCGACATGACTCTGAGGTGGCTGGATTAGGCTCCTAGGGAAAGGATATTTTTACGCCCCTCTGCCCATAGGTTCCCTAACCTCTCTTGTATTTGACCGACACTCAATGCCTTGCATCGTTCGTCATTCCGAATTCATACTTTTTTTTCAAAGGTGCAACCTTTGTTTTGTCCAAAGCTCATAATACAACCATCCTAACTCGTCTCGTCCCCATATCCCTCGTCATTGTTTCGTACATAATTTTTCGAAGGTAGCTCATCCAGAAAGTAGATCCAATACTGTCTTCTAACTCATTGACGCAAAGTTTGGCTAACCCTTGTCTCATGCATACTGGCCAAATTTTGCCACTTCGATATTGCAAAAAATAAACTTTTGTCCAAACGCTCATTGCGCCTAGTCCCTTTTGGTGTCATCTGTCTTATGCCCCTTGGCCCCTCGTTCATCCTTTCTTCCTGTTGACCACTTGGCTCGCAGGCCGGAGGCCAGAATTTTCCTATTTCTCCTAGCAAGTTCTTGTAACTCCTCCTCCCTGTAAAAGTCAAAAGGCGTAGCTGCCATTCCGGCCTCCATCAGTTCTCTGGCCTTGATGATCCAGTCATATTTGATTACGGTAATCCATTGTTGAAACAAAAAACTGGATGTTAGTCCAAACTCATCTTCCCAGCTGAGGGATCCTTTTTGTGACCTACTTATGGAGGGTCGCCCTTCTTCTCTACGCCTTGAGATTTTATCTGTTTCATCACCACTACCAATCTCAATGACCTCCTGCACTTTTCCATCCTCGTCCTCATCTTCTTCCCTTCGTACGGGGCTGAACTCACCCAATAAGTTTTCAGGATTCAAGTTATAGGGGATGTCCGTCCTCCTTTCGCATTCCTCCCCAAAGTCCGTATATCCCCTCTCACAACTGTCATGGCCGCTTCGTTCATCATGCAGGCTCTCTCTTTCTTCCCCCCCCTTTTTCACAACCGTTATCCATACCTTGCCTTTCTTCGTCCCCCTCATACCGTTGCTCATGCCGTTTACAACCTTCGGCCCCCTCCCCGAGGAGGCTTTGACCCCTTTCTCTTCCCCATACATCCCTCTCTCCCAGACTCATTCTCTCTTCTTTGCTCTCACTCCCTGATGAGATATATATTCCTTCCCCCTTTTTGATAGGCGAGGGTCCTCTGCACACAAGCTTCCTCGCTCCTCTCCCCAGTACTTGTTTGGACAGATACCCTACCTACAGTTTTCTCTTTTTAGTTTTTGTTCCCCACTTGGTTTCGTTTCTTCTTTCTGGCTGGGCTTGTTGATCCAGTTGCTGTCATTTTCGTTGCCGAACTCCATTCTTAGTCTCTGGGGTATTTTTCCTAATCCTGTGTACATATCAAAACAAACCCACAACGAGCCTCACTTACACTCCCCAGTTCGGTAGAAGATACCTCCCAAGAGTGCTCCCCATACCGCTCATAAAAAAACATATTATACATCGCTTCTCCATACCGATGTCGCAATTGCAACGACCCCATCATTTCCCCACAAAAACTGTGGTACAATGCCTCAGGCATCCTTTCCCGACACCATCCATCCCTTACATACACAAAAAAAACCATGGCACAAAGGTTCAAAGGCATACCACACCCATTGTCAATCAACACAAGCCGTTACCCCCTCCCCCCAAAAAGAAAATCCCACAGACGTAGTCAAAGACAAACCATAGTATAGGTAAGACTGCCGCCAACTCTCAGTTTGTGGACTCCTCGGTTTCCTTATCCTGGGCCTCCTGAAGCCATTGTTCCACTGGATCCCGACTTAGAAACCTGACCAGTCGTTGCCCTGGGAAGGGTCCTTTCAATCCGGTTTCATCCAAGTCTTCCAATTCAAAGGTGTTCAGTCTCACACGCTTAGCAATCCGGTAGGGGCCTTTGAACCTCCTTCCCAACTGTCCAAACCACGTGCTTTCCAGTGTCGAGTTCCTAACCAGTACCATTTCCCCCACCTTGAGTGACTCCTTTCAGATATTCTTAACCTGGTCCCACCTTGCTTTGTCCCTCATCCTGCTATCCAGTACCCGGTTGACAATGTCCTTCATATGGCCTCCTCGTTTCGAAGGACCTGTCGACATCGTGCTTCAATTAGCTCCTCCGTGGTCATGTGCGGATCGTCATCTAGTCTGTTCCACGTGGGTATCAACGCCTCCACAGGAAAATCGATCACTCTTCCGTACCAAAGTTCCGCTGGAATACATACCGTTGTCCTTTTTGCGGTCATGTTCTCCGAAAAGACAGTCTGCTTAAGGTACCTGGACCAACTCCCAAGATCATCTGCTGCGAGCTTTGCGATCGTGTTCTTTAAGGTCTGGTGCCCCCTTTCCACAGGCGCATTAGCCTCGGGGTGATATGGCTCGATGAGCTTGATAGGTACGCAAAGCCTCTTAAGCATACTCAACATTTCCTGGTTTACAAATTCGGTTCCATTATCTGCTATGAACCTCCTGATGAAGGGATGCCTCAGGTATAAATCCTCTATCCAGTCCGCTACCCCTTTTCCCGTCTTTTTCTTGAGGGCAATTGCCTCCACAAACCCACTCAAGTTGTCCTTAGCATCCAGAATATACTTGTATCCATCTGTTGACACAGGCATGACCAAAAGGTCGAGACGGATCACATACCCTGGCCCTAGCACCCGTGTTGGTCTAAGTGGCTCGAAGACGCGGATCGAGCTCCGTTCCTGGCAGATTAGACAGATCTGACAGTACGTGGCCACCATACCCGCCATGCCTGGCCAATAGTAGAGAGGTGTTATTTTTGCAAGGGTCCTTTTGGACGATTGATGTCCCCCAGCTAGTCCGTCGTGTATCGCCTGGATTACGTCCAACTGCCTAGACCTCCCACATACGACTCTCCTAGGCATAACACCTTCCTCCCTTTTGAACAGATGGCAATTCCTTATGACGTACCTTTCGGCCTCCTCCCTTGCTTTAAAGTTGACCTCCATAGGCTGCTTGTTCCCTACCAGCAGCAATCCGATTTCTTGAAAGATCCCCTCGTACATCTGAGCATAGAAAAACTATTTTCCTTCCTGATCCTCACCTTGCCTCTCTTGCACCTGGTTCACCAATAGTTGCAGCTCTTCTCATTCCCAAGACTCTACTAAACTCATCACGGCTTCCTAGCCTCCTTCAACAGTCATCGCTATCAATTCCTCCCTCGGACCCACTGTCGCTCCCCACGAATGCTTTTCTTTGCGCCCTCGTGTGGTGACTGGTTCTTCCCTGAGTTCCGCAACTACGGCGGGTGCCCCTTTTTCCAAGGTCTGAATCAGCAATTCCCCTAATGCGCACCCTTTGCTCACCATTTCGTTATCTACCGCCAGGGTTCCTCCTTCGTATTCCAGAAAGACATCGATGGGTTCCGCATCCTCCACCTCCTCCGGGTGTGATGCAAACCCGACTTAGCCTATCGGCCTTGTTCCTAAGCCCAACAATTCGTTCGATTTTGTAATCGAACTGCGAGATGAAGCCTACCCATTTTCCAACAGTCGGATCTATAGGCTTATAATTATTTAAAGCCCCTGCGACATTGGTCAGATCCATCCTTAGAATAAAACGCCTCCCGAATAGGTAGGCTTGGACGGTCTCGAGGCAATGCAGAACGGCTAGAACCTCCTTTTCGAATTGGGAGTATCGTCGTTCTGCAAAGTTCAAGGTTCTACTTTCGAACCTAATAGGCCTTTTTTTTCCTTCTTTGCCTTTTTGTATTAAGACTCCTCCTACAGCCAAAGGTCCTCCGTCTGTCTCGAGGATAAATGGTCGTCCTACTTCATCGTCAAAACATGGTGCCGCCAAAGTGACCTGTTCCGATGTTAGTATGTTTTTGAGAGTTTGGATGCGACCTCGGGCTCCTCAGTCCAATCCATGGTTCATTCCTCTCTAATCATGGCGCGGATAGACTCGACCACTTTGGCAAAAATTTTTGATGAAAATTCTTCAGAATCCGACCACCCCTAAGAAGGCTCTTACTTTCGTCGTTGTGAGCAGGGGCGTTGGCCACTGGGATATCTTATCGGTTTTCGCCGGGTCCGGCTTCCTCCCATATGCTCCACAGCGAAATCCCAATATGGTCACCTCCGGAACTGCCAGAATACTCTTTGGTCCGCTAGCAGTGATATTGTATACTAGGAAGCAGTTGAGTAAGTCCTTGATGTCTTGCAGATGGTCCCATACAAATTTTCGGATCCCCAGCCGAACTTTTGTTTCGTCCTTCTCCTGAGCGCCCTTGATTGGGTTGTCGTCGATGTAGGGTTCACATTTATCTGGGAACATGTCCCCGACTACGGCGAGCATCCTCCTTTGTGCCTCGGCTACTGCATTCGTAAAACCTATCAGGGTCACCTGCATCTGCAATTGTCCTACGGGAGTATGCATTGCGGTGTATGGTCTGTCTCGGGCATCCAATGAGAGTTGATTGTATCCTGAATACAGGTCTTCCAAGGAGTAGATGCTCCGGCCGACGTGGAAGTCTGCCATTAAGTCGGCCTGAGGTAGTGACCCCGCGTCCCGAACGGTTACTGCATTCAATTTTTGCAGGTCCTGAATCCATCTTAGTGTCTTGTTGGGTTTCCGAAAGACGAACCACCTGTTCGCGTAAGGGGACGCAGTAGGCTATGCGACGAAGGAGTCAATTTTTGCTCTGAGTAGGTCTGTTACTTCTCCCGCTATCCCGAGCTCGTAGGCTGGTCCTTTGTCGTTCCAGCATTCATGTTCTACTGTATGGATCCTAACGGGGAGATTAGCTTCGCATCTAGCCGCCCTTTCTGATGATCATTAAAGGCGAATGCCAGGTGAAATTACTGGTACGTCCTTTTGATCAGAATGGTTTCTTCCTCCGTTAAAAACCCCTCTATTCCTATCTTCATGGTGTCGGCCACCTCATCCGGTATCCGATGTCCTTCTGTTGCTCGTCTTTCTCGGATTACTCGTAGAACCTCTTCTTCCTTTTCCATAGCCTCCTCCTTGGACGTCTCTAGTAGGATTGAGACTGGCTTAGCTTTCTACTGGCTTGTACTTCAGAACACTCCCCTCCGGGATATTTCTTCAAAAAAATGAACGGTCGGGGTCGTCTTTGTTGTTTCCGCGATACGAGGTTGAATACTGATTACTTTTCCATTCAGACAGTAACTCTTTCGCACTTCCTCTTTGCATTTGGCAAGCGTCGTCAAGTCCACCCCTACTTTGTGATATCTGATAACTTTGATGAGCTGTAGCAAATCGGGGATTTCGAGTGCGACTTTTGGTACCTCCTTCTGCACTTTTTTTAGCTTGGACAAACTGGCCCCAAGTTCAACCTCCGATTCTTTTTCCGCTACCATGACACCTAAGGCCTCGTCCTCCTGCCTCCTTTTCTTTTGAGGCAGGCCCATCTTAATCCATGCTTTCTTACTGAATGCCTCCTCAATCATGATTTCCACCCTCTCTCTCATTCCCTCCATTCGAACAAAAAACCCCTTTCAAGCGCTATCTTCGAACGAAGGTGACCATGTTGCCAGTTTTCCTTTAGGAGGGTCTCCTCCGGTCCCAATGAGTCGGAGGAGTTCCCCACGGCCAGTTACCGGGTCCTCTAAGTCTACCATGTATGTCTCGTTGTCGGTGCGAATACCCTTACAAGGGTATCCGGCCTGTTTTTTGTAAGTGACAGGAAATAAGTTTGTTTTAAAATTTAAGTATTCCGCGCGAGGGCGCGGCCGCGTCTGTGACTGACATTTGACTGGATGGTTGACCAGAGTAGAGAGTGTGTGGACGTGCAGGTTTGAGGCACGCGCGATTTTATTTGTTGATGATTGAAGAATCGGCGTGATCGTCGGTCCAATTTCTTTATTTTTGATTAAATTGGGATTAAAAAGATTATGTCTCTCGATCGATACGCTTGCCTGTGACCTATGCGTATGTGTTGAGGACGACATCGACAACAATGTGATTATGAGGACGTTTCGATAGAACTACGTGTCGCGCCGAGTCCACTTATCTAGGTGTTCGTAAAAGTTAGGCTCAACCTTGGACCTAGTGCTATTGGTTACAGTTCGTTTGAGAGATTCCGGGAACGAGATCAAGCGGCCATGGGGCTATCCCGTCTGGTATGGCCGTCAGCAACGTCATAACGGTACTAGCAGAATCTCATTCCTCATTTGTCGTATCCTGACGATTAGAAAGTTCTAAAAATATTTTATTATTTTAATTGTAATATTATTTTTATGATCTGGCGTTCCTTGACTCAGACGAGATGCCCGGATTTAAAGGTCGTCACGACAGTCAAGGACCTTGAGCGCGCGCCTCCTTTTGACAAGCCCGTTCGGATCCCGGCATGTCGAGGTGTTGACAAAATGTTCCTATACTGCTCATTTTGAACATGCATACGAGCTGGTGGGTGACTAAGCCCACGAGGCGGAAGGAACCTGGGTTGTGAGGGCCTCTGAGGGAGCACCATCCATCCCCCGCAGTTCGTTGAGGAGGGGTCTATGTATGGACATGTCTGTGGGACTGGGGCACGGTTTGGGGAGTTTACTACAGCAGCGGCCCCGCGGGACCTGAACTTTCATTTGAATACTAGCTTCTACCACCAAAATCTGCACCGGGACCTGCCCACCTTAGTGCTTGCTGTAGGTTCCAAGGAGAGTCAGTGCCCTTTTACCCGACGCGGCCTCAGAGTCACTGCTACGGCCTAGCACAGGGCGGTCTCAACACAATCCGTTCCCACTAAGACTCGGCGGCAGAGTTGGCATGTCTTGATTTTTTCATAACCATCGCCTGCTGGTCATATCGTTTGTCCTAGTACCCGGAGTAGTGCACAGTTCGATATCGGGCAAGAAGGTTGGCGGGACGAAGGCAGAGAAGGCACTGCAGTATGAGGCAGCAAGTGGGCGGAGTAGGAGCGAACCCGACCTTAAAACGCACCGGGTGCGTTTGATAGGAGAGTGAATTTGGGTGGTAGGGTGTGCTAGGCGCAGGCAGAGCAAGAAAGAAGGGCAGCGACAACGGGCAACGAAGAAAGGGCTGAACCTGGGCGCACATATGTGCTAAATGCACACATGACAAGAGCGGAGAGGCCAGAACAGTTGAAACAGTAGAGACCGGGTCATTATGACTATCGGGTGCCACACATCGGAAGCGAGCGAGGCAGATAGCGCAGCGAATGAGTGTGTCGGGCGCTAGGACGGTGAGATAAGGCAGAAAGGCAAGGAGCGACGGCCAGCAATGGAGAGGAGTCGGGATTAACGGACGGAATGAATCTGGGCGCGTTTTCGCATTGGATTCATTCGAAGAGAAGAGTTATGGAGAAAAGGGGGTGGCGCAGTAGAAGAAGCTCAACTCGCCCGATCCTTATCAGACTCAAGCGAGGGAAGAGGTGGTTTTGAGGGATCAAGGCCAGGCGATTTCATTAGTATGGTTAGATTTTGGTGGAAGTTAGTGGAGAAGGAATGTTAAGAGAAGGTGTCGCGGAAGACTGACAACGGTGGGTATGGCGGAGGAGTGAAACCATAAGTTCACTCGTCTCTCACTAGAATCGAGCGGGAGAAGATGCCGTTCCAGCGTTTTAGCCCCGGGCGAGCTCGAGGATCAAGTTAGTTCTGGTAGTGAGTTAGCAAATTAGGAAGTAGGAGAGATAGCCGGCGTAGAGAGGAGGAGAAGCGGAGTAGCCGAGACTGCTGAGTAATCGGGCCGGGTCACTGCGGCTACCAAGCGCTGCGTAGCTGCGAATGGGAAGACAGAGGAGCGACGAACGAACGGTAAGTGAAGACGGGGGGCGGAGTGTACGTGGACGACGTACTGGGCCAGGTGCATTCAGGGACATAGATTGGCTATGGCGGAGTGAAGAAGACACAACTCGCCCGTTCCTTAACAGAATCGGGCGGAGTAAAGACCGATTTTGGGGTTTTGAGGGCTGGCGAGCCCGAATCTGTTGTTAAAATAGGACAAAAGTTAGTATATGGATGGTTAGAAGGGGAAAAGGGTGCGATGAAGATGGCGGGAGGAGTTATGACATGAAGTAAGAAAACCCGTTTCTCGTTCGGTTTAAAGTGAAATCTAGTGAAATAAAGTGATAGGTGAGGCCTTTTTTGTACTGCGTTTTAGTTAGTGGAGTTAGATTTAGGTGAGGAGTGTTAGTTTACAGACTATAAGAGAGAAGCACTGCGCGGGAGCCTCGTGTGTGTGGATATGGCAGTGTGGGGAAGTGAAGATCTCGCTCGTTTCCTAATGAAAATGAGCGAGGGAGGAGTCGTTTCTGGGGTTTCAAAGGGTGGCGAATGCGGTGGCGGTGTTAGATTTAGAGTTTAGTGGTCAGTTTTTTTAGGTTGTTAGTAGAGAAGTTGTGCCGGGGGAGTAGTTAATTGTTGCCTAAGTGGGGAATGAATCTAGCCGCCTTTGCGGATAGGTTCATTCATTTTCTGTACGCCTCTTCAAAGCAAGTAGCGTGGGGCCAGCTGTGAGGTTGAAGACTTACCATTGCCCGACGCGTTGTCCATCCTAATGATGGAAGTAGCCCCGCTGGTTTCCGCGTACGAGGCCGAGCTGGCGATGCGGGATGAACCGAAAGTCGAGCTGCAGAGTTTTGTCGTGTGCCAATAGCAAGAGATTCTGTCGAGGGCCTTCCCATACTCCGGAGGCAGGTTCACTTTCAATTTGTACTTCTGATAGGTACGGGAGGCGAGGCCGTGATGCGGTTGGTTGCATCTGGTAATGCTCTAGGAGAAAGTCCAGTTTCCCTATGTGTGAAGGGCGAGTCGGGTAGAGGAAAGTCTGAGTGCAAGCGGGCAGTGAAGGTCAAAGACTTACCTGTAAACCAAGGAGTAGCCTCCGTCGAAGTATGCTGAATCTCAATATAGATGCCACTACGTCGTGGTCGCCTCTGCTGAATGCTTTGATGACGGGAAAGTAGCGGGAAGAGGGAACGACAATTGCAGGCTTACTTGACCGACCAAGAGGGCTGCTCACCGTATCAAGCGTGGTGAAAGCTCGCTTACTGGCTGACGCACTTCTCATGTTGCCGTATGAGGAAGCGAACAAGCCGGATGCATGGGCTGTGTTGTGGTGCTAGGCGTCGGCAGCACGACTTGTTGTGACCCTTCACCTAACTATTGGGATCGGTATGGTACCTTGCTAAGGTCATATTGGGCCATGCCCGGGTACACTGTGTAATACTGTGCACAAATACTGTTGTTGCTAGAGGGAGTTACGGTTTGTTGTGCGGGCACTGCACTGCTGAATCGTGTTTGTATATGCAGCTGATCTGCTAATGCACAACGTTTGCAGTGTTCCCCCACCAAGATCGTCTGAGTACTGAGCACCGGTGGGGTAGAAAGGCTCCGTTCGCTTTATAGTGGCTAGGCTTGCTGGTCGGGGGCATCAATATTATTGATACAGAGGTGCACTGTTTTTACATGAGGCTGTTCTTGAGCCACTGCCGCATACATGATGTTGTATTAAGGAGCATTGTGATGTTGCTGGAATTACGCGGCTCATTGCACGGTATCCCAC